CCAAAAATCAGATTACATTATCTTGAATGCATAGCGATGATATAAAGTTCCTGCTCATCTTCAGCAATTCCTAATAAATGGTTGTAACAAATGCATGGACAGTAAAATCCTTGAATGTATCCAATGACATCCCATTTATTTTACTCTCTTACATGGCGGTCTATTCTAGTTTTGTCTGACTATAGAAATCAATACAAGTCAATGTGCACATTTTCCAGGGACAAGAAAAGAGCCGGGAAGAGTCAGAGTCTGAACTGTTGGTTTCTCCATTATGTGTATAAATCATCTTGAGATACAAGTTGATATGACAGATTCTCCCTGCTCACAGTTTGCTTCTGTGGCTGTGGAACCAGAAAAATAGCTGACTAGCTATGTGCAGTAGACATCTTACACGGATGTCCAAGCCTGGTCCTTTCCCAAGAAATCTAGTGTAACTCTACTAAGGCTAGGATCAAACTGAGGAAGCCAGTGAGTATGAACAGTATCTTTTTCAGCCTCCTGGGACAGGCTCTTGAATAAATAATCCCTCTTCATCAGGGGAGAAAATTAAATGGTCTATACAGTCAGGCCAATATTAGTCTGGGGCCTGCGTCAGTGATAATCTTGGTAGTTAAACTGCTGGTATATTAATTAGGTTAGTTCAAGTCAGATTACATCCCTTGAGAAAGGTGGAGTAGCTGTTATATAATGCTACAAATGAATGATGATGGGCTGAACTGTCAATCGATGGATCTCATCTTCTGGGAGGCTGTTGGTGAGCGACTAAGCCAATTCTCAACTGGCAAATCTGTTCACAGATATCATGTAAAAATCTGCCATTTGGTGGGTGCCTACTCTTTTCTTATATTGTCTGGATATGTTGACTCTAGAAGCATTTGTGAGCCTGTGCAATGATCTGCTGCCAGGCCAATCTGTCTTGAGCTATGATTGCTAAATCACCAGGAGATATGCCACATGACTTCATGTTGGCCCTTAAAGTATCTTTATAGCATGTATACCCAACCAATAGAGTGTTTTCCACAAGCTGGCCATAGAAGACCATCTTAATTAATGGAAATTTCCTATCTTCTAGAGCTGGAAGGGACCTTGAAAAGTCATCAAGTACCTCCTTCACAGGAGGACCAAGTACCACCCCTGACAAATTTTTATCTCAAATTCCTAAGTGGCCTCTGTAAGGATTGAGCTCACAACCCTAGGTTTGGCAGGCCAATGTTTAAACCACTGAGCTATCCCTCCCCCCTCTTTGGTGTCCTTGTGTCATACGTCCTCATAATATAAGCAATCCAGTAAAAATGGTTGTTCATAAGCATTACTTCCATGTCCATTACCCCCAACAGTTTCAGGACAACAGTTTAAGGCACAAAATGATCTTATACTAGCTACAGACATAAAGGGAAACAAGAAGATGTTCTATAAATATACTGGAAGCAAGAGGAAGTCTAAGAACAGGGTAGGCCCATTGCTCAGTGGGGAGGGAGAAACAGTAACAGGAAACTTGGAAATGGCAGAGGTGCTTAATGACTTCTTTGTTCTGGTCTCCACCAAGAAGTCTGATGATGAAGGAATGTCTAACATAGTGAATACTAGCGGGAATGGGGTAGGTTTAGAAGTTAATTTTTTTTTAAAAGAACAAGTTAAAAATCACTTAGAAAAGTTAGGTGTCTGAATGTCACCAGGGCCTAATGAAATGCATCCTAGACTACTCAAGGAGTTGATAGAGGAGGTATCTGAGCCTTTAGCTATCATCTTTGACAAATCATGGAAGATGGGAGAGATTCCAGAAAACAGAAAAAGGGCAAATATAGTGCCCATCTATAAAAAAGGGAAATAAGAACAACCCAGGAAACTACAGACCAGTCAGTTTAACTTCTGTGCCAAGAAAGATAATGGAGCAAGTAATTAAGGAATTCATCTGCAAACACCTGGAAGATAATAAGGTGATAGATAACAGCCAGCATGGATTTGTAAAGAACAAATCATGTCAAACCAATCTGATAGCTTTCTTTGCTAGTATAGTGAGTCTTGAGGATATGGGAGAAGTGGTGGACATGGTATGCCTAGACTTTAGTAAGGCATTTGATACAGTCTCACATGATCTTCTTATCAATAATTTAGGCAAATACAACTTAGATGGGGCTACTATAAGGTGGGTGCATAACTGGCTGGATAACCATTCTCAGAGAGTAGTTATTAACAGTTCGCAATCCTGTTGGAAGGGCCTCACAAGTGGGTTTCTGCAGAGGTCTGTTTTGGGACTAGTTCTGTTCAATATCTTCATCAACAATTTAGACAATGGCATTGAAAGTATGCTTATTAAGTTTGCAGATGATACAAAGCTAAGCGTGGTTGCAACTGCTTTGGAGGATAGGGTCATAATTCAAAATGATCTGGACAAACTGGAGAAATTGTCTAAGTAAATAGGATGATGTTTAATAAGGACAAATGCTAAATACTCCACTTAGGAAGAAACCGTCAGTTTCACATATACAGAATGGGAAGCAACTGTCTAGGAGGGAGTACTTCAGAAAGGGATCTAGGGGTCATAGTGGACCACAAGCTAAAAATAAGTCAACAGTGTGATGGTGTGGCAAAAAAAAAAGCAAACATGATTGTGGGATGCATTAACAGGAGTGTGATGAGAAAAACTCAAGAAGTCATTCTTCCATTCTACTCTGCACTGATTAGGCCTCAGTTGGAATATTGTGTCCAGTTCTGGGCATCACATTTCAAGAAAGATGTGGAGAAATTGGATAAGGTTCAGAGAAGAGCAACAAGAATGATTAAAGGTCTAGAGAACATGACCTATGAAGGAAGACAGAAAGAATGGGGCTTGTTTAGTTTGAAAGAAGACTGAGAGGGGCCAAGACAGCAGTTTTCAGGTAAAAGGACATCACAAGGAGGAGGGAGAAAAAGTGTTCTCCTTGGCCTTTGTGGATAGAACAAAAAGCAATGGGCTTTAACTACTCCAAGAAAGATTTAGATTGGACATTAGGAAAAACTTCCTAACTGTCAGGGCGGTTAAACACTGAAATAAATTGCCTAGAGAGGTTGTGGAATCTCCATCTCTGGAGATATTTAAGAGCAGGTTAGATAGACATCTATCTGGGATGGTCTAAATGGCACTGGATCCTGATGTGAGTGCAGGGGACTGGACTTGATGACCTCTCGAGGTCACTTCCAGTTCTAATGTTCTATGATTCTAAGGACTTCTGTGTTAGGAATTTTGTCTCGTCAATTCACATGGGCAATCTTCTTGAGGAAGCACATATGGAACTGATTAAATTTTGAAATCTGGTCATGGTATGTAGTCCATGACTCTGAACTATACAGCAGTACTGTCAGGACAACTGCCTGATAAACTGTAACTTTTATATGAAGTTAAATACTGGGGTCATTTCAGCTGTGTTTGGTTAATCTTCCAAAGGCAGTGCTGGCTTTGACTTGTTGATCAGTCACATCATCATCAAAGTTTATACTGGAGGAAATTATATTGTCAAGCTAGCAAAACTTGTCAACAGCCGTAAAGTCAGTATCAGCAGCAGAGATCACTAGAATGCTGGGTTCTTTCTGAACAGATTGAGACATAACCTCTGTCTCCTTGAAGTTCACAGTGGCAGTGTCTAGACTGCATCCCTCTGCTGACAGAGGGATGCAAATCAAGCACTTTGGAAGTGCAAATGAGCCTGGGATTTAAATACTCACATTCCGATGCTGTGCTGATCAGGCTCAGTGTCGAAAGTGAAAGTAAAGTGTAGCCGCGGCTCTGCCGACAACGGGGAGCTTTTTCGGCAGCTCCTGTACTCCTCATTTTTGGGGGAGTAGCTAGTTGATGCACCTCATTTTTTGAGGAGTACAGGAGCTGCTGAAAAAGCTCCCCACAGTCGTCAGAGCTGTGGCTACACTTTACTTTCACTTTTGACACTGAGCCTGATTGGCACAGCATCGGAACGTGAGTATGCAAATGAAGCCCGGGATATTTAAATCCTGGGTTCATTTGCACTTCCGAAGTGCTTGATATGCAGTCTAGACGTAGCCAGTGAGTCCAAAACAATAAGCAGAAACAGCAAAACTTTCAAAAAACTTCTGTGCATCCTGAACTGAATGAGCCAACAATGCACAGTCATCAGCAAACAGGAAGACATGGATAGCTGGAGTGAACACTTTAGTGCAAAACTGAAGACTTCAGGGTTTGAAACGCTTCCATCAGTTCAGAACTGAATGGGTATGCCCAACTCACAATCCTTGAAAGCAACTAACAGCATCATTGAAAAGTAGATGCTGAACATGAGAAGAGGGATCTTTCTCCCAATGGTGATAACTGATGTCTCTCCACTGCCAAGCACATCACCCAGCATACCATCATGAAAGGGCCAAACTATACTGATTTTTTTTTTCAGGACATCCAATTCGCCCAACTTCCTTCCAAAGCCTGTTTCTGACCAAGTCAATCTTGGTCAAGTCAATTAAAATCACATACAGATCCTGAAGTTGCTTTTTACATTATTCTTGGATATGTCCTGCTGTGAACATCATGTCAGCAGCGCCTCAACCAGCATGAAGTCCACATGGACTTTCAGAAACATGCCATTTGTGAACACATATAATGTCAGCCAATTGTTGAGGCTGTGAGTCAGGATCTTACCAGTGATAGCCAGCAGTGAGATAGTCATCACAGTATGAATGGTCACCTTTTATCTTGTATACGTATACAAACAGATCAATTTTGAAGTCTTAGAGGACTTCCTCTTTCTCCCAAATGGTGATGAATAAATGGGCGAGATGGCGCATCAACTAGCTATCACCAGCTTTGTTAGTCTCTGATGGGATTGCATCACCTCCAGGTTGCTTTCCAGATTTCATCTACTTAACAACTTTTTGTATCTCATCAAGAGTTGGAAGTATAACCAGCAGGGAATCATTAGCCCAATGAGGAATCTCTTCAAGAACGCTGCTGTCAGAAATTGATATCTGGTTTAATACACTGTAAAAGTTTTTTGCTCAGCAGTCAGTGATTCTACTACTATTTGTAATCAGAGTGCTTCCATCAGCAGAGCGTATTGGTATGGACCCAGAATCGCATGGGCCATAGCCTGCCTTCCACCCGTCATACAATGCTTTCAAATTGTGTCTATTGACTGGGTCTTGAAGTTTGACTACTTTACATTTTCACCTGTTCTCTTTTATTTGCTGTAATAGGACTTGAGCTTTATGCTTAGCTTGAATGTATGCTGATTTCCTGGAGACATTCTCTTTATTATTGATCCAAGCCAGGTGTGTCACATGCATCTTGTCAAGAAGTGTTCAGGCATCTTAGTTCGCATTGTCAAACCAGTCTTTGTGTTTGCATGTTTGGAAACCCAATATTTCAACGGCAGCTTTATTAGCTGTTTCCTTTGTTTCTTTGATACTGATCCAATCCTCCTTAATAGTTGTTGGCACCTTCGTTGTTGATGACTAAGGAGGCATGAAGACTAAGCTGAAACAATGCTCATATTGCAAGCATTTCAAGTTTTCTTACATCCAACTTTTCCTGTCAGACAGCAGAATAATGATGTTTTGAGGGACAGAATCTCAGAGAAATGACACTGCATACCTTGCAATGGTCACAACAGCAGCCAGTGACATGCACTGTATGAGTCAACTTTACATCAGAGAGGCTTCTTTATTTTATATTGAAATAGTCAACCATATGCCAGTGCTTAGAGTGATGGTACATCCAAGTCACTTTGAATTGCTTTGACTGTTGGAAAAACATGGTTGCAATGACAAGCTCATGAAGCACTCACATGTTTGAAGGAGGGTGCCATTTGAGTTCTTGCTTACATTATGTGATGTCCAAGCATTCCAAGTTGTGGTAAATGGTCTAGGCATCAGTTCAACTTACATATTCAAGATTATGTGAGACTTATGCAGTGCATAAACTGTGTGCATAGTGCTGGCTGGAACACAATTCTGATTCACAAAACAAACAAACAAACAAACAAACAAACATGGTTGTGAAATGTACTTTCATTCTGATGCAGAACAAAAATGTGATCTAAGTGAGCCCTATCTCAGAATAGCCAATAGCCTGAAGGTTATAACACTGGTGTGTGGTGTAAGATCTGACTCAGGTACACGAGACCACAGACTTACACCTAGTTTCCCATATAGCAGATCAATGTATCAACCTCATGTATCTTTCCCAGCTCAGAGCACCTTATCACCAGATTATTGGCTATTAAGGGTGGGGTGTCCTTATCACAGAAATTCCAATTGTGACCTATTTTTGATCTCATTGATATGTTTCCACAAAACAATTTTGTTTTCACGGGAGATATTCATCAAAACTTCTCTGATCAGTTTTTCTGGAATATGCCCATCTGTAGAATAGTGATTTGGACTCTTTATTAGCTCACCAAGGCTATAACAGCCATTCACCCACTTTTTGATTTAAAAAATTAGCAAAATGATATTATTTACTTTTACTGGTGATGGTCTGACATTTATATGATGTAAGCTTGAGTGATATCTCTAACAGACGTAGCAAAGCTCTGGTGTTGCATAAAGAAAAGATATAGACCATGGAACTACTGATTTAAAAAATGTGTCATTCATTATCAATATCATTCACTTTTTTCATGATGGATTAGTGATTTTATTGCTGTCTGAGATGGTAAAATTATTTACATCTGCATATACTTTTGTGCCAAAATTAGAAAGGGTATGGTAAGCATAACTTTACTGAAGGGGTATTAGGAGAATAATGTCATTTGCCAAACAGGTCTACAAGAGGAAATGAGAAAATAATTGTAGAAACAATAAAGCATGAATATACACTAATTAACAAAAGGGAAACTATTATGCTTCTAAGCACAAATTTTGGTTCCTAAATGTAATATTTTCAAAATATTGTAACTGATTGGGAGTTGTACTTAGGCATTTGTGAAAATGTGATCTACCTGCTGCAAGCACAACTTTGGGCTCCTATTTGGAAAAACAAACAAACAAAAAACAAAACAAAACAAAACAAAAAAATTGGTCCCTGTTTTGTTTTTATCATGGTGAAAATAATTGTCATAATCAGAAATTGATACAGCACACTAATATTACCGTAGAACAATAACATATAATTCTTCCAGATTGATTTTTCTTTTTTCAGAATTTCTATCTTGTAATAGAAGCACTGGTGGCACCCATGGCTGTCTTTTTTCTACAGAGCATGAATGTAATTTTTGTAATACTAGGTAGGTGAAATCAGCAATCCTTCTTTCAAATGACCGTTGTTGATGCTGTTAGCTAGTTGGTTGGATCTAGAGCTTTATTCTGAACTTACCATTTCATATTGTCCCATCAGTAGCTGCCTGAGGCAGACTGCAGCAACTGGTGCCCCAGGCGGAAGGGGTGATCGGCACCCCCGCCTGCACGGCCATCAATGGTGTGACGTTATCATTGGGCGCCCCAGGTGCCCCATTGAAGGCAGTACCCTAGGCGACAACCGAGTCGGCCTATAGTCACGGGCCGCCCCTGTTTCCCATTGACTGACTATTAAGGTAGTATGCATAGACTATATATAGCAGGCTTCCAGAACACAGTCTAAATTAAAAAAAAGTAAGTAAAGAGCCCATCAAATTGGACCTTGCTTCCGTAACAGAGATATTGCAAACTGAGCTGCTTTGTATATGGGAGTAGCAAGGAAACAGAAAGTGGACAATAATATCTGCAATTTTCAAACAACAAATGCAGCAATTCTGTGACCATAGCAGCATGCAAAAAGTAAATGAAATAAGAAAGATGAAATGAGAGCATGAGTGCGGCAGTTCCAATTTTGTTAATTAGTCTGTATTCATGCTTCAGTGATGCTGCAATTATGCTACCTCATCCTCCTGTAGCCTTATTGTGCAAATGCTGCCATTATGTTCCTAGTAGCACATAAAATGGTGCATGATATGAGCTACCTACAGAGATGTCATTACAATTGTGTCAATTTAACAGTATGCTTTTTAAAATTTATAATTATTTGCCTGCTCAGAGAAGCTATTTGTGAACCTATTACCAGTCTTTTTGAAGTTAACTTGGTAATTTCCTTTGTATTATTTTAAACACCTGCCACTAAAGTTCATATTATTGCAAACATCTTGTTATAATGCTTTATTATAATAAACACAACCTCGATGTACATTTAATAATATAACTTTTAGTGTAGATTTTAATTTTAGTTATGGTATTTTTAATGCTTTCCAATTAAAACATATTGCAGTAGAACTCTGAAAACAATAGAATCAGGAAGCATCAGAAAATATACAGTCCTGTTTGGTGCAGAGTAATAATAGACACTCTTGCATTTTGATCTTACTTCATGAAGGCAAAACTTGTATAAACTCAACTGGTTAAGAATCATGTTCTAGATGCTTCTCTCCCCCTCCCCCCCACCCCAAGAGCATTTATATATTTAAAACCTGAACTTCAAATGTATGAGAGTATATAATTTGGAATTACACCTTAAAATTGAGACTTTATGCAACTGGATCTGAATCCCGGATCTTTGGAGCAAAATGTATGAGTCTTTACTGTATGAATTGAAAGCCCAGTGCCACTAGCATGGGGCCAGTGGGAAACTCATGATCGTTGTATGTGGTAAATTCACCACTTCCCTATGTCTATTGTAGCACTCACTTCATTTTTTTAAGTGGAATGATTTGTAATCATAACAATAACCCCTTCATCTCTTGTAATATCAAGTTCTGTAACAAAAATATCAATTTCAGTTTAAATTCAATCAGTTCTTTCCTGAAAAGCACTTTCTGCTAGGATAATAAAAGGATATGTACAGGGACATACAGAACTTAGAGGATTGGGCTGTCCATTTATTGTGACAATGGCAGCACTGGAGAAAAAGGAAAAGGGATTTTTGATGGCCAGTGTAAATGGACCAAGAAAAAAATCAAACAAAACTGTTGATTTGAATTCCTTTACAAAATTTGTTTAAAGACACCTTTGTATCCCTCAGGGTATGTCTACACTACCCTCCTAGTTCGAACTAGGAGGGTAGTGTAGACATACCCTGAGGGATACAAAGGTGTCTTTAAACAAATTTTGTAAAGGAATTCAAATCAACAGTTTTGTTTGATTTTTTTCTTGGTCCATTTACACTGGCCATCAAAAATCCCTTTTCCTTTTTCTCCAGTGCTGCCATTGTCACAATAAATGGACAGCCCAATCCTCTAAGTTCTGTATGTCCCTGTACATATCCTTTTATTATCCTAGCAGAAAGTGCTTTTCAGGAAAGAACTGATTGAATTTAAACTGAAATTGATATTTTTGTTACAGAACTTGATATTACAAGAGGTTAAGGTCCAGCCCAGGGATATCAGAAGATATCTAATGACAGCCAGCTCAAAGGTGCCCACTGGAGTTGGTCCTAAATTGGAACTCTAAGGAAGAGGTTAGAGAAAAGAAGAAGGAATCCATTAATTCAGACTGCACATATGTGCTAAAAGTAATGAAGGAAGGTGATTGTGGAGAAACAAACAAAAATGTAATTATAAAGTGGAAAAGGGAATCCAAAAAAAACCCCAACTTTTATATAATGGCCTAATGGACATAATAAAACTAAATGGGAGGAAAAGAAGGAGGAGTCTGGAAGTCATCAAAGTGACCATGGGAGTATCCTATATGATCAGCTTGGCTCCCAGCTAAAGTGCAAATAAGGGACAAATCTCCAAAGGAGTATGTATCTATTGATGAGGAGAGAATTATGCTTCATAGAACCACAGAATCATAGAACACTAGAACTGGAAGGGATCTTGAGAAGTCATTTAGTCCAGTCTGCTGCCGTCATGGCAGGACTAAGCACCATCTAGTGATGGATGTCTATCTAACCTGCTCTTAAATATCTCAAGAGATGGAGATTCCACAACCTCCCTAGGCAATTTATTCCAGTGTTTAACCACCCTGACAGTTAGGAAGTTTTTCTTAATGTCCAACTTCAACCTTCCTTGCTTCAGTTTAAGCCCATTTCTTCTTGTTCTATCATCAGAGGCCAAGGAGAACAGTTTTTCTCCCTCCACCTTGTGACACCCTTTTAGATACTTGAAAACCACTATCATATCCCCTCTCAGTCTTCTCCTTTCCAAACTAAACAAGCCCAATTCTTTCAGTCTTCCTTCATAGGTCATGTTCTCTAGACCTTTAATCATTCTTGTAGCTCTTCTCTGGCCCCATCTTCAATGGAAGATGGGGACAGCACATGAAATGAAAGATCAAGGTACATTTCTTAGGGTATGTCTACACTGCAGGGTTTTTCCGGGAAAAACTGACATTTTTCTGGAAAAACTACACTTATGTCCATGCTACTATTGCGTTTTTTTGACAGGACCCTGTGAGGAGCAGCAAACAACGTGTACCCTCCTGGTCTGTAGTGGAAATCCTGTCCCTCTTCAAGCTGATCCCTGCAGGATCTCCACTCCCAGCTCAAAAACACTGACATCTATGGAAGCATGGCTGAGACCCTGGCAGAGAGGGGACACTCCTCTGGACCTTAAAACAGGTCCAGAGTAAGGTCAAGGACCTCCTCCAGGGCTATACTAGGGCTATACTAGGGCCAGGGAGTTCATCTCTTGCTCCATGGCAGGACCCCACGCCTGCTCCTACTACCAGGATCTCCACCAGATCCTGGGGGGTGGGGAAAGGACTTCCCCACTTGTGGTGGTAGACTCAGGGCTCAAGATGCCTGTCTTCTCCCACCCAGAGCTCTCTGCAGAAGAGGAGGAGGAGGAGGGACAGCAGGGGCAGGAGAAGGAGGACATGGCCAACACCATGATTCTGACGATGGGGGGGGGACACTCCCAGGGGGATGCCCTCCCACCAGCCACCCCTGAAAGCAGGATGGGCACAAGGGCACACGCATGACCCCATGAAGACCGAGGAGTGCTGCACACAGCACATGGGCATGCCTGGCCACACAAGGCAGCACCCTCTCCCATGGACAGCGCTGCCAAGAACAGGTACATGTGTGGGCCCCATGGAGGGCCAGGCTTCTCCAAGCCCCTCTCCTGCCCATGGGATCCCACTGTGGCCGGACACTTCCCTAGCATGCTTGTCCATGGGAGGCAGGGAAATAGCAAGAAGCATAGTCCTCTGGGCACCTCCGGGTCCCTGTGAGGCAGGGCCTGCTGTGCAGGCCACACATGTCCTTGCTTCTGGGACATCCCCATCCTCCTCCCCAGTTTATTTTATTCAAAGAAAAATACAAAGTTCATTTTGTTCAAATTGAAAGAGGTGTTTTTATTGAGACTGAAGGAAAGGGGGGAAAGGAGGGGTTGTGGTGGGAAAGGGATAGTGGACTAAGGCACAGGCCCCTAGTGGGGAGGCCCTGGGGAGAGTTACTGTGGTCCTTGAGAGAAACTCTCCCTCAGGGCCTCCTGAATGCACACCCCCAACTGATGGGCCTGGTGGATAGCAGCTATCTGCTATTGCTTGAAGGCCCTCCCTTCGCAGACGGCCTGTGCTCCCAACCCAGTAGGAAGGCCTCTCCCTTTCTCTCCACAATGTTGTGGAGGACACAACATGCTGCGATGACCTCAGGGATGTTGTGCTCCCTCATGTCTAGGTGGGTCAGGAGGCACCTGAACCATGCCTTGAGGTGCCTAAAGATGCACTCCACCTGGATTCAGGTCTGGCTGAGATGGGCATTGAATTGGTCCCTGCTGGGATCCAGGTGGCCGGTATATGGCTTCATAAGCCACAGCATGCGTGGGTAGGCCGTGTCCCCCTTGATGCACAGTGGCAACTGCACGTCCCCAAACCCAAAGGCACTCTGGGGGAAGAATGTACCAGTTTCCAGCTTTGGGTAGAGGCTTGGGTTTCTAAACACATGAGCATCATGCACCCTGCCAAACCACCCAACGGAAATGTCCCTAAACTGTCCAGGGTGGTCGACCAGAGCCTGCAGCACCATGGAGAAGTAGGCCTGGTTGTTTATGTATTGGGCCGCTTGATGAGTTGGGGTGTATCTAAACTACATGGCTCCATCAATGGAGCCATGTAGATTAGGCTGATCGGCAAAGGGAAATGAAGCCGCGATTTAAATAATCATGGCTTCATTTAAATTTAAATGGCTGCCCTGCTCTGCCGATCAGCTGTTTGTCGACAGATCGGGGCAGTCTGGATGCTCCCCTGCCAACATGAAAGCCCTTTATCAACTTCCCCGTTATGCCTCGTAGGATGACGTTTACCGGAGAGTTTGATAAAGGGCTTTCATGTTGGCAGGGGAGCATCCAGACTGCCCCGATCTGTCGACAAACAGCTGATCGGCAGAGCAGGGCAGCCATTTAAATTTAAATGAAGCCATGATTATTTAAATCGCGGCTTCATTTCCCTTTGCCGAACAAACAAATATACATGGCTCCGTCGACGGAGCCAGGTAGTCTAGATGTAACCTTAGTGTGTGGATTGGGATGTGGGTTTTATTGTTCGCTCTACCACATTTGGGGAACCCTACAGCGGCAAATCCTGTGACATTCGGGTTCAGGTCTCCCAGGCAGATGACCCTGTGCAGCAGTACTGAGTTGATGGCCCTCACAACCTGCAGAAGGAGACAAACACACACAAATGAGAATGATAGGGAATGCCTGAGCCCTTGGCAGGTGCCTGTCCTCTTCTCCTCCCGCCTACAAACACCCCAGAAGCAACCCCCTATGAGCAGAGCTATTTGAGGGCGGGAAGGCAAAACCACCCAGGGACAGGGCTTTCCCCCACCCCCAGTCCACCTCCATACTCTCCCACACCCCTTTCCCTAGGGTCCCCCTTTCCAGGTCCCCCCAACACAGAAACTGCAGCCTGAAAGTGCCTCACTTCCTTAAGGAGGGCCCCGATGGTGGACTTGCCCACGCTGAACTGGTTGCCCACCAGCTGGTAGCTATCTGGGGGTAGCAAGCTTCCAGATGATGATGGCAACTCTCTTCCAGATGGCGATGGCCAACCCTCTATTTGGAACAAATAGAAAAACTTAATGTTGACAAATCTCCGGGACCGGATGGCATTCATCCAAGGGTTCTAAAAGAACTCAAATGGGAAATTGCTGAGCTATTATCTGTGGTTTGTAACCTATCCTTTAAATCGGCTTCCGTACCTAATGACTGGAAGGTAGCCAACGTGACACCAATATTTAAAAAGGGCTCTAGAGGCGATTCTGGCAATTACAGACTGGTAAGTCTAACTTCAGTACTGGGCAAATTAGTCGAAACAATAGTAAAGAATGAAATTGTGAAGCATGAAAAAGAACATAATTTGTTGGACAAATGTCAACATGGTTTCTGTAAAGGGAAATCCTGTCTTACTAATCGATTAGAGTTCTTTGAAGGGGTTAACAAACATGCGGATAAGGGGGATCCAGTAGATATAGTATACTTGGATTTTCAGAAAGCCTTTGACAAGGTCCCTCACCAAAGGCTCTTGTGTAAATTAAATTGCCATGGGATAAGAGGGAAGGTCCTTTCTTGGATTGAGAACTGGCTAAAAGACAGGAAACAAAGGGTAGGAATAAATGGTAAATTTTCAGATTGGAGAGGGGTAACTAGTGGTGTACCCCAAGGGTCAGTCCTGGGACCAATCCTTTTCAACTTATTCATAAATGATCTGGAGAAAGGGGTAAGCAGTGACGTAGTAAGTTTGCAGATGATACCAAACTGTTTAGGATAGCCAAGACAGAAGCAGACTGTGAGGGACTCCAAGAAGATCTCACCAAACTGAATGATTGGGCAACAAAATGGCAAATGAAATTTAACGTGGATAAGTGTAAAGTAATGCACATCGGGAAAAATAACCCCAACTATACGTAAAGTATGATGGGGCAAATTGGCTACGACAAATCAGAAATGAGATCTTGGCGTTATCGTGGACAGTTCTCTGAAAACTTCCACACAGTGTGCAGCGGCGGTCAAAAAGGCAAATAGGATGCTAGGAATTATTAGGAAAGGGATAGAAAATAAGACCCAGAATATCTTACTGCCCCTGTATAAAACTATGGTACGCCCACATCTTGAATACTGTGTACAGATGTGGTCTCCTCACCTCAAAAAAGATATTTTGGCCTTGGAAAGGGTTCAGAAAAGGGCAACTAAAATGATTAGGGGTTTGGAACGGGTCCCATATGAGGAGAGGTTAAAGCGACTGGGACTTTTCAGTTTAGAAAAGAGGAGACTGAGGGGGGATATGATAGAGGTCTATAAAATCATGAGTGGTGTGGAGAGGGCTGATAAAGAAAAGTTATTTATTAGTTCCCATAATAGAAGAACTAGAGGACACCAAATGAAATTAATGGGTAGCAGGTTTAAAACTAATAAAAGAAAGTTCTTCTTCACACAGCGTGTAGTCAACCTGTGGAACTCCTTGCCAGAGGAGGCTGTGAAGGCTAGGACTATAATAGAGTTTAAAGAGAAGCTGGATAAATTCATGGAGGTTAGGTCCATAAAAGGCTATTAGCCAGGGGATAAAATGGTGTCCTTGGCCTCTGTTTGTCAGAGGCTGGAGAGGGATGGCAGGAGACAAACCGCTTGATCATTGTCTTCGGTCAACCCTCTCTGGGGTACCTGGTGCTGGCCACTGTCGGTAGACAGGATACTGGGCTAGATGGACCTTTGGTCTGACCCAGTACGGCCATT